GGTCTTGAGGTTTTTAACAATTTTGGGGATTTTGTTTTTTGCCTTTTTCCACTTATTTTCTATTAAGTTTTGGGATATTTGCACAGACAGATTATTTTAATTATTGATGCTTACATTGCTGGTATGGCTTAAATACAGATCACTGATGCTGTCTGGAAAACTGGAGTTTTCTAGAAAGTATTTATTCTTTTTTAACTTTTTTTTTTTTTTTAACCATAAGGCCATAAAAAAAACAAATAAGTCCAACAAAACATATATAGTAGTAAAGAGTAAATATTGATTTTACTGCAAAAAAATCTATGAATTATTCTATAAACTTTGACGGGTCCAAAATAAATGGATATTTACTTCTATTACGATGTCATTGGATTCTGCGCCAACAGGAATGGTAGGCTGAAGTAACGTGTGTCCTCGTACCTCTTTGATAGAGCTAAGAAATGACTTCTTCTATGTAGTAATTATCTCAGTATAAACAAAATAAATTAGCATTACCTGCCAACCCGCTAGCAAATAGTATGGAACAATAGCGAGAGTAACTGCTCCAGGAATCAACTTAAAGCTGTCACCTCTGAGCATTTATATATATATATATATATATATATATATATAAAAGAAATTTCTACTCCACATCTATTTGCATTTCTAGACTGTGTATCCAATTTTATAAATCCTACAAAAAAATGGAAATTTAAGCCTGAAAAAGTGCAGACCTGTAAATGGGAACTTAAATTACCATAAAGTTTACATGATGCCTTTCAGTTTATCATCTTATGCAGGGGTCTTCAACCTTTTTCTGGCCAAAGACCCCCAAACTGATGGCCAGATGGAGCGGGGACCCACTAATTATATATATTGTATGAAATTGTGTTATATCACACTTGTCCAATAGTCACTCTATTACAGCTGGAGTCATGTAACAAAAATAATTTGATTCCTTGTTGATGGGACAGGTGTTGTGAATGAAACTGTGCCCAGCTTGAAAGAGCTCCTGTGTGTCGCTGAATGTGTGCATTGATGACTGAAAGACCTCTTCTGTCTCCATTTATCTGCTTACTGAAGTGTGATGAATTCATGTTAATGTGGATTTAAAGACATTTCAATTAGTGGAAAAAAATTGCAGGGAGGAATATATACAAAAAAAAAAAGTCTAATCAACCAAAACTTTTGCAACCCCTATGCAGTACCTCTGTGGACCCCCTAGGGGTCGCGGACCCCCTGTTAAAGACCCCATATCCATTGTATGCCAGGTTTTTATCCAACATTATTTGTATAGGACATGCATAGACGTAACACTAAATAATCCTTCCTGTAAATTAGGAAACATTCTATACATGTGGTTCCTTGTTTAGAGTTGCTTAACAGTAAAGAATCATTAATGTAGATTTGTTCATGTGCAGAAAAATGTTCAGTCTTTGCAGCAAAAGAAAATTAGAATCTCTTTTTAGAGAAAAGTCCCTATATTATGTCTATAATCTGAGGTTTCTCTTTGTCCAACAGCAACAAATCTTTGTTAAGGAAGCTTCTCCTGGATTGTGGAGGTCTGTTCGCTGCACTGCGACATCTTGACTGTGAATTTGACGATGAGGATGAAGAGCACCATGGAAGGCTGCTGTCTGAATTGTTTAAATCACCCCATTCAGATGTGACCTCTCTCTATTTTTCCCTCTTGCTCGCATGCCTGTCTGCTCTGACGGGTGCCGTTAGAACCAAACTAGGAGGAAAAAACACAAACCCAACTCCAGCCGGTGATGTTGAAAGAGATTCAGCCCCTCCGCTGAAAAAGCCTCGCCTCGCAGACTCGTGTCCGTATGGGAGTTCAGAGTTTGACCTGGTCTTGCTGCTTGATGATGGGACCCGAATTCCAGCCAGCAAGGAGGCTGTGGCCGGAGTGGAAGGCGCAGACGAAGCTGGATCTGAATACTTCAGGGCTTTATTAAGAGGTGGTTTTGGTGAAGCTGAGGCAGAAGAAGCTATTCGTATTAAGGATGTCAGCGCAGGTATGTTGCTGCCGCTACTGCATTACCTCCATGGATGTCGCTTCAGTTCAGACTCAGACAATGAAAGGAGTGACAAACAAGCCAGACGGCACTGTCAGACTTTAGATTCAGTGGTTGTGGGTGTCTTCCAAAATGAAACAGGAGAGCCATCAACAGAAGGCTTTCAGACAACACCGTTATGTGAATTGATGATTGGGGCATGCAGATTTTTGGTGAAAGATCTCAAGAGTGAGTTGGAGGATATTTTTGTGTCATTTCTCCTGTCCTGGTCCAACGCTGGTCAAGCCAAGCAGGGTGATAAAAAAGACAATGCTGAAAAGACTGAAAGAGACCAAAAAAGCTCTGACCCTGCAGAGGATAACCTGGCTGATCTAACATCTGAACTAGAGCTGACTGCAGGCGGTAAAAAACTGAACGGTTTCCTTCAACAATTAGAAGGAAAGGAAATGTCTTCAACTGGATCCATCCAGAAGGGCATCACAGGACTAGACAGAACAGTCTCCAAAGCAGTCAGTGCATCAGAGGACCAATCAGTTTCTCCTGAAGGGAAGCTGCTAGGACCAAAGAACCGGCTGAAGTTTGCCGATCAGGACTCCTGTTCTTCCTCAGAAGCTGCCCTTTCTGCTTTGCTTCCCCAGCTGTACTGGTTTTCTCAGCGGTACAGCTATCCCACTCTGGGTCGGGCCTGCCTCGCCCTGCTGCTGGGTTTCCAGGACTGTCCTCGTCCGTTTGTATCCTGCTCCGTTGCTGCAGATTGCTTTCGCAGACTAGCCAGAGAGGCAGACTGTACAGAGACTCTAAAACAGGATCTGCTTTGCCTGGTCTCTGCAGCCTTAGTCTGAGAAAAGACGAATTGTGACTGTTATCTTACATTCACTGAAACCGGTAAAAGAAAAATCTGTCAAAAGAACTGTTGCATTATTTTTGGTTTTTTGTTTTGTTTTTCTAAAGCAAACTTTATTTTAATTTTTTTTTATATATATTTTGATCCAATCAAACAATGACAAAATGAAAATTGGCAATTTTTTGTTAAAACATGATTATTATCTGTCATATTTGCTTTTTTTTTTTAATCACCAGAATACATTACTTTGAGGTTTATTTTGTGCATAAAATTATCCTGAATGGAAGAATTATGGCAAACATATTTTGGCTGTCCCACATAAAAGCACTTAAATCACTGCTTTCAATACTTGTTTTTTTTCCCTCTCACATACAGGGTATTTTTAATGCTTTAAATTGGACAGAGTTTCCATTTAATATCATGAACTTTAAAACAAATTGCTGAAAAAATCTTGGTTTCAAACAGGGAGGTTTCAGAATGTGGTTGTGACATAAGTTAACTAAAGAATCAGGTTTTATAAAGGAAATCAGTTGTGTGGAAAAAAATTAAACCTCAAAAAATTATTTCTTCCTAAAGAAAATTAAATTTAATCAAATATTTTATTTTCAGGTTTAAACCGGAAATGGGTGTTTTGGTAAACAAAAAGAATCTTTTATTCCTTCTGGCTGATGAAATATCTATCTATATATATATATATATATTCAATATTCAATATTCAAAAGCTCATATTTACATTTTTTTTTTTTTTAATTGGTGATGTCATTAAACCTGTGTTTCTGTTTTGGGTAATACATTACCATCCATCTCACACTCATACGTAGATGTCACTCTAAAGACCTGCCTATCTATCTGTGCACTGGAAACAGTCCTGGAGCAGAGACTGTATCACTGGGTCACAAATGGCTGTCTTCTTTGTGTGCCCTCTAAGCACTGGCCAATATGCTTCACTGATCGAAGCTTATGATATTGTGGGAACAACTGAAACAACATTTTTACTTTACTTTCGGAAAATGTCTAACATGGACTAAAAATGCTGTGCAATCTGTCAGTATAATTAATAATTCAGTGAAATTTATGCTTTAGGGAGACATAAACAGCTTAGATCAATGAAGCATGTCATTTTTTTAAATACAATCACCTAAACATGGAATACACATATCTTAAAGACCTTTCTAATTCCCATAGTTTCTAAATGCAACAGCTGTGATGATTTTTGTCCAGGGATCAAAGCTGTTGGTCATCACTCTGCACCCTGTGTCATCTAAGCCATCAACTGTAGCGTGCGGCTAAAGGAGTGCATCCATCAGCTGCAGGGTCTCTGATCTCCGTCGTTGTGTCTTTGAGAAAGATACTTTGCCCACTGGTGGTTAGATGGCCTGGTGGCAATATGTATGGCAGCTTTTCTTCCTTCATTGAACCGCAGGGGAGCGTTGGCAACAGTGTAGCTAACTCTGAATGTATGTTTGAGAGACTAAATGCAGATAAAAGTTCTTTAGGATTTTTGGACTTGATAAATTGCTATAAAAGCACAAAGAATTGGCAATTTAAGTCCCGTCCTCACACGGAGGAGCCAACAGTTTAAAACAAACAAAACAAAACAAAAAATTGAAAAATAGTTTTAAATATTTATTTTTTGTATCAGTTTTTTGTTTTCGTTTTCAAAATGTTTTTTTTTTTCCATTTTCAAAAATATGTTACTTTTTAATCCTTTTTCCGCCTCAAAATACTTTGTCAGGTTCCATATTTAATTCTGTTTATTTTCCCTTTTCAGATAAGTTCTTTTACAAACTTTATGGCCCCAATTTAGCTCCATAGCTTTGTTTTTTTTTGTTTTTTTTAATCCATAATATAAGTTAACAACAGAGTGTAGGGGTTCATCCTTTAACCAACAGGATTCTGGTTAGAGGCTTCAAACACCTCCAGTCATGAACACAGCAGGTAAGAGCAATAGAACATCTTACCACCGTCAGCGTGTGAATGATCGGATGTAGTGTAAAATGCTTTAAGAGATTGTTACCCAGAAAATACTTGCAACTGGGAAATAAATTTGTGGTTTTGTACAAAAAGAACTTGAAGGAATGCAAAAAGGTTTTGCTTTTTACTCTTCTATGTAAAAGTATAGTTCATTATGAATATGTGGCGAGGAAAAAAAAAGAAACTGCTCCCATATAATTCTAGCATAAAGATGTTTTATTACTGCTGCTTTTGCTGATGGGAGTGCAGGTACCCCTTTGGTTGGCATATTTAAAGCAGGCTGTACTGTAGTTTGAGGCATGCAGGTGAAATGAAGAGCAATCATCTCAGTGATCAGAGCCCTCGTAGCCGTCGGGAAGAGCGTTGGTGTGAGGGTTGTGGAACAAAGTATGGTTTCCGTCACCCCAGGGGAATCTCTGGAGGTATACACATCAAAACGTAGTTGTTAACCTTGTTTTAATCTGAAATCTGAATGCAAAAGCTGCATAGAGACTCACCTTGGTGCGGATACGCAGGTGTGAATATGGCACAAACTCAGGGTTTTCATGGGAATGGGCCTGTGCCTTCATGTAGGCATTGGCCATACAGACACCAACGCCTGGGATGGCAAGAACGATCGTCAGGATCTTCCAGGTTCTTGCTGTAAAAAAGAAAAAAGTATCATATAGCCTATTTCTTTGCTCCCCAGAGATGACTATTATTCAGTGTTGCAGGCTGGGTGCCAGTTCTGCAGCCCTTTCAGTTAATGTTCAACCAAACTATGCCTGTTTGTGGCGTTTATACGCAGAGTTTATTCAGGAAGGCTTTGAAACATGAATATGTTTTGTTTTTGGTATAAAAGGTCATTAAAGACACTCACCTCCTCCCTCATGGCTTGCGTGTGACGCAGCAGCAAGCACCCGGCGGGCAGCAAATACAGCGGGAGACGACATCTGCAGTGAGAAAAATTCAATATATTTAAAAAAGGTTGATGTAGTGTGAAATAAAACCTGAGTAAATAAAGATATTCCACCACTCTTTGACAAGTTTTGTGTAACTCAAGAAAAGCCAGACTCATGACTGAATATAAAAGGAGCCAGAAATCAACAGGTTGTCCAACTAAACAAACCTTGTCTCTGATTTAAGCACTACTGGTTTTATTTCACCCCCCTGCAGCAAAAAGCTGGCCTAAAAGAAGTAAAAGTAAATAAAAGAAACATTTAATCTGGTATATACTCACTTTTTCAAGTAGTCTTCTCTTCTGTAGTTTTACTAACCGCTTAACATTTGGCAAATGCTCCTTTCTGCTTGTTTGTCCTTCAGTCTGCCCTGAGCTGAACCGACCGTGTCCGACTCCTCCCCATTTCACTCTGACACTCGGCCAAGAAACTTAGTTTATATTTGGCAAAGTGCAAAGTTATTGCTGATGGGTGCCAGCAAAGTAGGAAAGAGCTGCAGTGGAGGACGGTAGGCCTTCTGCACAGAGGAAAAAGCAGGAAGCCATTGGGACCTTCCATGAGTTTACATTAATGGAGACAGTGGGATGATCAGAACAGCTGCAGTGGATAATCGTCATTGCACAGAGTTGTTTACTAAAGGAGAAGACTGAAGGTCAAAAGTTTAGATATTGTGCAAAGTGTATTTTCTTCTTAGAAGTGTTCAAGATTTTATTTTTCCTTAAAATGTACAGTTTCTATTTAAAACATCGTCAGGTGTCAGAATAAGTAGTCAGAGCTCTGGGGGGAAAAAAGCCATCAGTTTTTAGGAATTGTATTGAAATTTCTGCTTTACATTCAAAACCAAAATATAAACAAAAGTCAATACATTGTTATTCGCACAGAAAATATTCCAAAGAATATTAAGGTAAGCCAGCATTGTCAGTGATTTTAACTCAAATATTTACTACATTAATTGAAAACCACCTGTTCATATATGTCTTAGGAACCACTGAGTGACTATTTTAAATTCAGAATCAGGTTATTCACCTAGTATAACCCATTTCTGATTTTTCACATCTGTGTTGCTTTGCTCTACTAGCATCTGGAAACAGTTATTCCAGCCCAGGATTATTTCAATATAATCCCTCTCTTTCATGGTTTCGGTTCAGAAGCTGCATGTTTTATCAGATTAAGGCTCAAGGATTAAGCTGCCACTCAATGATATCAACCCTGAAACCAAGATGCTAATCACCTGCTGGTGTTTTAATATGTTCAAAATGGTGCATGATCCCTGATATCTAATAGATTTATTCCACATTATGGCACAATACACATTCCTATATTATTAATGCTTGAGCCTTTGCACTGTGAAGCTTTTTTGAATTCAGTGATTGTTTCTCTTATAAAAAAAACAGTCAGCCTTAGACACCAAAACAACTGTGCTTTCATCACTTATGAGAAATTATGCTAAATTTTCCTTAAGGTCAGTCCCTTTCAGAACTTGTTATTTTTTTGGGGTTTGCAAGTAATTTAAAACCTTTGTCTTTCCTTTATAAGATATACCCCAACTCAAAATCTTGCTGCTGTGTCAAACTGACCATTAACCCATTTCTATATGTTTCTCATGTTTTTATTTAAAGGTATGCAGCTCTTATAATCCATGTCTGGAGTAACCCATGTTACTTATAAGCATGCAGATGTTGTGCAGCCACCTTCACTCACTATGAACCAAACTGTTAAAGTAATTAATTGAACTGAGGACTTAAAACGTATTATTTTTGAAAAACTCTTCTAACTCAAATGGGTGGAGGTAGTATAAGATGTTCTTGTTTTTGAGTACATTTAACTCAAGCCTATGGTTAGTATGAATTATTAATATATTAATTAAGCATAACTTAATTAGAAAGAAAAATGACAAACTAATTGTGCTATAAGACCCCTTTGGCTGATTAGTTGACAGTAGATGTGGCTAATGCTGCAACACCAGGAGGAAAGTTGCCCTTAGATTAAATGAGGGCTGTTAAATGTTGCTACGTTACGGTTAGTTGAATTCAATTCAGTTTATTTATACAGCGTGAATTTACAACACATGTCATCTCAAGGCACTTTACAGTTCACCAGACCATACAGTCAAATTGATTAAAAGTTTTCTATCTAAGAAAACCAGTTGATTGCATCAACTCATTGACTCGAAGGCAATCCTTCACACTAAGCATGCTTGTAGCGACAGTGGAGAGGAAAAACTCCTTTTTAAAGGAAGAAACCTCCAGCAGAACCAGGCTCAGTGTGAGCGGCCATCTGCCGAGGCCGACTGGGGTTCAAGGAGACAGAAGCTGACATAGAAAAAGAAGCAGAGATGCAAAAAGCAGCTGTAAAAGGCGGCCCAGTCCAGGAAACACACAGCCACCTGAATGTCAAAGATTATTATTTAAAGGCTTGAATAATGAAATAACTTTGATTTGAATGCTTATAGGAAAGTTAAAATTCCACTTACCTCAAAGAGGCTACTAGATACTAACAGAGATGGCAAAAGTACTCACTTTCCGTACTTGAGTAAAAGTACAGATACTTGTGTTAAAAAATACTCTGGTAAAAGTGGAAGTACTGATTAAACTTCTTTACTCAAGTAAAAGTAACAAAGTACAGGCTTGTAAATTTACTTAAAGTATAAAAGTAAAAGTAGAAACCACTTTTTTCATGCTGTTGCCTACATTTTAAATGGATGTCTGCCAATAGGACTAGATCTCCGTTGTGTTCATTTTTAATCATCTCGTCGTCCATGCTACTATGCTAACGCCACCGCCACCAAGCTGCAATGATTTGCCGCCAATGAATACCGCCGAATCTGTCCATTCATCTTGTAGTGGTGCGTCAAATGCAACGTAGATTCCCATCCAGTTAGAGTGAATTTGGTATTGATGACGTGAAAAATAATAACGGTAACTCCATTGAAATGATTCAAAACTAAAGTAACGAGACAATTTTTAAAAATGTAAGGAGTAGAAAGTACAGATATTTGTGTAAAAATGTAAGGAGTAGAAGTAAAAAGTCGCCATAAAAATAAGTAGTAAAATAAAGTAAAAATATCAAAAAAATCTACTTGAGTACAGTAACGAAGTATTTGTACTTCGTTACTTCCCATCTCTGGATACTGATGAGTATCTCTAATGTATAATATGCATAAAAATTAGTCTCAATGAAGGAGACTTTTCAGTTTATACAAAAAAATATAAAATGTTAATACTAATGCTTCCTTAGAAAAGATATAAAAGTACAAGTTCTTAACCGATTTTTTTAATTTGACTTAATAGTTGGAGGTGAGAAACCCAAATGGTGTAAAGCACTCAGTTTCCTCCCATCATTTGAGTTAAACGTATCCAGTTTGACAGTTTGAGAAAGGGTCTCCATGTTTTCATATAATAAAGGACAAAACCTACTGAATTCACAACTGATGTTATTTTGAACACGGTCCCTCAAAACTACTGGTTAAGTTTTGCAGAATTTCTTATTTGTGTACAACAGTCATTAGTAAATAATATACCTAACATGTCAATCATAACTGCAGAGGAGGCCAGGCTGCTGTTTAAACATTCTTTGTAGAGTATTAAAAAAAAATTAAAAAAAGCTTAAGCTACATTTGTTTTACAGGATTTATGTGGGTCCAGAAAAAATAAAGACATTTTTGCCTCAAAAATATCTTGCAAATAAGTGAATCAATTGTTCTAGTAACAGGATATGAGTACAAAAATCCAGATTAGAACTAAATGACCTATAAAGTTTCACACAATATCTCATAATCTATATTTATACTGCAAGTTATTTTTACAAAAAGAAATTATATATAAGCCATTTAAAATACCTAAAGCATAACAACGTACAGAAAAGGCGCTTTACAGACATCAGGTGGTGATTTTTGTTAGTACATCAGCTCATCTCATTTTCTTTAGCTGCACTTTCCTAGATTTTTCTGCAAGCAGAGTCAACTATGACATCATCATATGATACCCCCCAGTAAGAATATTTACTGGAAATTTATTGATAATTAAATATTTGTTAGCTGTTTATTTAAGGTGTTATTATATAGAGTGATTTTTGTTTGGTTTTAAGTTTTGTTATAATTGTATTGAAGAGAAAATATTCCCCTGTTTTGTGGCGCCCCCTGGAGGTCATAGCGTTCTTAGCATTTGAGGTGATGTCTTTTTTTTATTTACTAAAATTAGAGTTCACAAATTTATAATGTTGTGAAATCTTAGTTCTCTACGGAAGAGGATTTGGGCCACTGAAAAAAGAAAAAAAAGTTAACTGACTTTTAGATTTTATTTCAGTTTAATATGGGAAAAAATTCTTACTTGAATCTCCGAATTCGGACTTTAATTCTGAGATTAAAGTCAGAATTCTAACTTTTTTCTCATACTGAAATAAAATGTAAAAATCTGTAAAAAAAAAAATTCAGTGGCCTTAATCCTCTTCCGTAGATCTCCCTTTTTTTTTTATTTTTTTTTTTTTTTATTACATTTCTTTTTGAAAAACTCCTTTAAAAACATGTAACATGAGAAATAAGAAATAATTTACCCTCTTGGTGGCTGTAAGGTTACTATTACTTAAAAAAACATTTCTCAACTTCTACAATGCCAAACTGCTAATCTCTGGATCAGCTAACAGGAAGGTCCTTCAGGATAATGTGGATGTGAAAGATTAAGGGTAGATTATTATAGGCTGGGATAAATTAGCTTTAAATATAATTCACCTAAAGAAAACACAAATTGCTATGCAAAATTTTTAGCCATGCTTCCAAGAAGGAGATAAATGCAGTAAATCCAAAAATAAACAGAGTGACATCTTTTAGAGCAATGCAGATGGGTTTGTCATCGGTGTATTCAGCATGTTGCTGGCTTTCATAAGCATCTGTCGGTGCTGCTCTGTGTTTTCTGGTATCCAGGGATGTTATTGTTGCTAAAGAAGGCAAATCTTCCTGAAAGGGAGCTGATAGACTTGAGAGATTAGAATGGAAAACC